GCCCCGAGCACCGGCGCCCGAGCCCAGCCCCGGAGCCGACAGCGCCCGGAGAACACCGAGCGCAGAGGGGCTGGAGGCCTGGCCCGAGAAGATGCCGTTGTCCCTGCCCCCAAAAGCGCTGCCAGCTCCGTGCATTTCTGCTTCCTGGCACCCAGCGCAGCTGATTACAGCGCTCCTTGCAGCTGGAGCATTTCAGGATCCCACTGATAAGGAAAATAGTCGTGTCACTTGTGTGAAATCTTTCGTAGAGGTGGGACCTTGTTCTCATGCTTTTCTTTCCTCCTGTTGCTGCCAGGCTGCTTGTGCAGCCTTGTGCTGCGGGCAGCCTCTGGCTTTTTGCCTCTCCTAGGTTTGCCTGCTTGCTCGTAAATGCCTTGGAAAAAGATGACCTTCAATTATATACTCTACACGCAGCAATAATACAAATGTCATAATTTGATGAGAAGTCGTTCAGGGGTGACCTGTGCATGCTGAATCCTTCCATATGCCTCAGGCTGCCTCTTGTTTATAAATGCAGAGGCGCAGTTAGGAAACCATGGTCCATTGGGGATTTTTTGCTACTAGGGGTTTTCTTGAGAATTCTATTTATCGCATACAAGTAGGGAGCAAGGAGCTGGTGGGAAGCAATCCTTAACCCTCCATCTCTTGGTGGGTTAAGTATGGTTGTTTTCCAGAAGAGGAGAATGTTGTCTTGTATAGCAGCAACCTTTACATATAACTATCAGCAGTTTTTGGTTGGTTATGATAAAGGCTGACTCTAGACTGCTCTTAATCAGCATCTACAAATTGCCCTAACTGCTTCAGTTGCTTGTTTGCTTCTGGCATCTTCCTGGCTTGATCCCTGCCCCAGATGGAAGGACACATTGGCTGTGTCCTTGTAACTGAAATTAAGTTTAATTTATTCAATTAAGCAGTGCAGGGAGCAAAAGAGGATGCACTGTGCATGCAACTAATCATTATATGGAGCCTTTAGAGAGTCGTTTTGACGTAGTTTAGGATGGCACGTGCAGGTGTAACAACAGGCTCTGCAGCGTGGAAGGCTCTCAGATTCTGACTTCATTGTTCACAGTCGATCTGTGAGAGCTTTGGAGCCCTGCACTGCCTTAAGAACAGTTCTGTAGGGGTTCCTGGGTCTGCCAAGTTCCTTTATGCAAAAGTGACCAATTTAAGTTGCCCCAAAGAAAGAAGATGAAAAACTGTCACAAATAACTCCATATTTGCAGAGGGGCACAGCACTTGGAGCCTATATGCAGGGTTTCAAGGAACAAATTCTTTGATGATTTACATTTCAGTTTTTGAACATTCACTTATTAAATAAAAACAATCTTTCTTTTCATTTTGGTATACTGCAGTTATGTCAGCTCCTGCTTAGTGTATGTCTGCATGAGTTGTTATCCAGATTATTCAAGGTCTTTTTGTAAGCAAAGAGAGATAAATATTAAATATTTCTACCAATCTCTGCCAGTTCTTCAGTGGGTGCATGATGTGTCTTGGGAGAAGTTTTTCTGCCTTCTGATAAAAACACTATATGTACAGTTTGTACCAATTATGCCTAGGAGTTGCTTAGAAATATTTAACTTCAATAAGTGGAGAAGAACAGGGAAATATTTTGAAGGTGGATGGGGAGGCTTCACTTGTAGGCAAATGCTCATTTAAACAGTAGAGGAACAGGGAGCCCTGTATTATTGTCAATACTTTTTCCTTGGGAACAGCAATCATTGTTGATAAGCTGCTTGCTTTTTTTTTTTAAGCCTGAGTTAGCCATAGAACATAATAATTTATAGTTTTTTTTCCCGCTAAGCTAGCAACAAGAGTACACAAATAAAAATCATCTCCCCGCTCTTATCTCTCATATTTTGCGGCTAGTGACCACATCATTTCTTTTGCTGAATCAGCTATTTTTCATGTACTGTCCTTTTTCTTTCCTTCTTCTGTTTAAAAAAAAAAAAAAGTTTTGATCAAGTAAGAAGCATCCTTCTAGCCATATTAAGGCTCATTACACTACAGATACGTGGCCTTTTTGGCACCATCCCAGCCTCTCACAGAGGAGCGAGAACAGCATCAATGTGGAGCTTGACCTGTAACTTGAGTATTTGTTACCGCTTTGTGGGTGTAATTGTGCATGTTTGTGGATGGAGCTGGAGACCCAAGAGCAGCAAAGCATCTAAGTTTCATCAGCTTCTAAGATAAGTAAATGGCCTATCCTAGAAATGTTGTTCTTTGTGGCCTGTTCTGAAAGCCAGAAGGAACATGCCTTTTTGTGGTTTTGCTCCTGCAGACCATCTGTCCCACGGTTCTTTCAAGTCAGTGCTGCAGACCTTGTGGGATGAGAGACAAAGTTTCAGAGTGACTAAGCAAAAAAGGACAGGAAGAAATGATCCTGTTTTGATCTAAGTCAGAAATGGCCATAATTATTTAGCTTCTGGAAGGCGACAAAGTTTAAAAACCCTCCAAAAAACTAAGTTTGAGGAGGGGTGGTTAGGAATGAATGAGCTCGTAGGAGGGTGCACAGTGTGGTGTGAGTGCTGCCTGGGCTGGGCTGTAGCAAGCTGCGATTCCCTGACTCGCACAGAGAGAGATCTGAGGAAGGGAGCGCAATTCCAGGAGTAAAGCACGAAAAACTTCTCCTGCAAAGACAGAATAATTCGCTTGAGAATAAAACTGGCAGTGGATAGAGGGCCGTTCAGGGAAGGGAAATCAGGAACATGTGTTGTGGTGCAGAGAGGTGGTTACAGCACGCGTGGTGTCCCTCGTTTCGCTGGGGCCACTAGTGATAACGTTTAGCTGGCTTGGATGTTTGGGCAGGAAGCATTCATGTTATAGGTTTAAGCAGAAAAGAGGGGATAAAACCTTTTATGCAGGGCTCTGACCAGTTGCTTTCCTTTTGATCATGGTGGAGGAAGAACAGTCTGCACCTGCTTTTAAGGAGACGTTCTCTAATCTTGCTCTGTTCCTCTGATACTGACGTCCATGGAAAGGGCTTCAGACCGCACCGGTCCTCGGTCCTGGCTCAGATGTGAGCTCGTGTGCACGCTATGGAATTGGCTTCCACTTTGTATGTGGTTTCGGGTTCAACGGAAGCCAAGTTTATGACGCAGCACTAATAAAAGAGCTCCTCTTAATAAATGGAATAAGAGTTTGAATGAAACCACTGCCACTATGTAGTGGGAAATGGTGCAAATGCCAGTTTAATAATTATATAGTTCTGTGTGTTTAATTCCTTGCTGAAACAGTGTGTCCCTCCTGTGTGGTGCCCCATTCCATCCACACCTGCTTAGGTTCTGTGGAGTGGAGAATATATCTGCAAGGGATCTGGCTTATTAGGGATTGAACTTGGAAGACAGCTGAAGCTAGATGAGGAGAGGAGGACAAAGAGCAAAGAGATTAACTCGGCAAGAGAGGATAAAACACGCGCTTGAGGAGAAGCTTATTGTTCTGGGCTGAAAGCATCCAAATGGGGCATCCAAATGGGGTTATATATTAATAGGCATGAGGAATCTGTGATTTGAAAATGACTAAGCTGCAAACTCACTTCTTGGTTTTGATTCTTTATAGGGGATTCTCTTAATTGGACTTCATTATGCATGGGATTTTTGGTGTTGTGGAAGAGGTACTTGAGCATGGAGAAGGTGTTTTGACTGATATTTTATTTGTATATGTGACAGGCAATTAGGATCATTCATGCTGTCCTGGAAAAGTACGGTACCTATGAGAGTTTTGAAGTTGCCACTGGAGGAAGATTGCTGAGCAAATGCCAAATCTGGTCTGTTATCCGAAAGTACATGCAGAAGGAAGGCTGCGTGGGAGAGGTAATAATCATTCTTTGTTTTATGTATGAAATCTTTATTTGTAAAATAAATTTAGAAAATATTTGTCTTAACCGTTGTTTCAAGTCAGCAGTGTTAATCCTGATAATAAAGAGTTGGATTAGGAAGTATTTTGGGTACGAAGAAGAAAAATCTTCACTGAGGAAGAGAGACTTGAGAAACTGATTTCAGGGCAGGAATAAAAACTACCTGAGACCCAAGTTTGTAGTGCAGGATGCTGTAAACAAATCTCATGGTGATTTTGTTTACAAAGGGGTTGCATAGAGACAAAATATTTTAACTGTCCTTCTCTGTGTTTCTCAGTTTCTACTGGAAATACTATATTGATTCTAAGTAACTTCAGGCCATTTATGGTTCCCAGTTTGTCCTAGCTCTCAGAGGCCACCACTGTGCAAGAACCTTGATGTGTCTTGGAGAAACATGATACAAGTACTGGATTCTCTGAGCCTGGCAACTGCCCGATACAAGCTCAGGGTCGAGGTGTTTCCTACTCTTAACTGTGGCTTCAGTTCAACGTGGCTCCTGGCTGCTTGTAGTCCTTACCCCAAAGTTAGGAAGTCAGTGCTATTTCTCCACCAATCTCCTGATTTTTTTTTTTGCAATCCAGCCATGTCTTCCCTTATGTTTGAGAGAGGTGGGAGCTGTGTCTGTCCACATGGCCGTGCATATTGGGTGGGGAGTCCTTTGCTATGTACATGAGGCATCAATTATCACTGGAAAGAGTAAACTATTTTTGTTCCCTGTGGTATGGCAGAAATCTCTGACAGCTGGGTTCATTCACATGTTCAAAAACAAAAATCAAGGAGAAATTTCCTGCTCTTTTGGTCATACTGGGTTATGGTACTTTGAAACCCCAAGCTCAGGTTTTAACACTGGGAAATACTCAGTTATGATGTTACTCTAGCTGTGACGCTATAGTAACTCAGCTATGTGGGAAGGAAGATGAGAAGTTCAACCTCTCTTATTCTTTCTAGCTCATAGGGTTTATCTGTGCCTCAAGAAGCCCAAGTTAGGGTGCCAATATACCTCAGACAACCGAGATGCCGAGTGCTGCGGCTCGCCTCCGTGCTGATGCAGGAGGAGTTCCTCATGGTTGCCTTGCTGCACGCGCTAAACTGCCTTCTGATGGAGCCTGTTAGGCAGCAAATCTCGGCCTAGTGAGGCAGAATTTTCTGCAGCTTGCTTTCTGTGCTTAGCCAAATAACACTCCCTTCCAAAGAAAGAAAAACTGCTGCTCTGCAACAGTGGAGTCGCAAGGCACTAAGCCAGGAATCCTGAGGGTTTAAATACTCATCAAGAAGACATTGGTGGTCTTTTCTTGTCATTTCCCTTCTGGTTCCTGCTCTGGCAGTAGCACTGGCCCTTCCTCTTCCACCTTCAAGTCACAAGGAGAAGATGAAAAGCGAAATGTACCCTTGTACATTCACCTGCCTTGATCTCTGCCTGCTCCGTTTTGCTGCGGATGCTGTTGCCATTGTTGTTTGCTTGAAAACCTGTTGTGCTTTAATGCAAGAGAGATCGCTGTGGTTATTAAGCAAGGTGAGGAACTTGAAGGTTTGCTGGTGTGTCTATATTGCTGTGTTTCCAGGACATACCTAGCAGCTGGATGTGTGTGGGGATGAGGAATGTGCCGCAACTTCACTCGAGGGTGTTTTTTTTATTATTTCCTGCCTGCAGGATATGTGCAAAACACTTTCTCTGTCCAGATCTGAATGATTAGAAAAATTTCTGGACCTCCTTCTGCTTTTCCTTGCAGGGTCGTCTTTTACTGTTGACTGTAGCACCCTAGGACACATAGTTAACAGACAGCAGTGCTAGGTGGTGAAGGGGGTTCACTCATCATTGCCTCTTGGTCAGACTGTTTCCTTACCTCTGATTTTCACCCCATCCCCAAATAGGGTAATTCACGCGTTCTTCACTCAAGTTAAGATTCTTGGCACATAGCACTAACCAGAATTTTCATACCAACAAAAGTCAGAGTGAGCAGTTCCCAGAATTAATACATAGGCAGAGGAGGAAGCACAGGGTTCAGGTGAAACTGCTCTTCTAGCTTTCCTTGTCTTACCGTGATTCCTCTGCAGATGTATACCTAGAATTTAAATTTGGTACCTTGATCTTCCTCAGCATTTTCGTCTGAAAGGATTTCTGTAAGTCTCTTCCAATTATTTAGCTGCCTTTTTAGTACACAGTCGCAATATCCAGTCTAGCAGTTAGTCGATCCTGTTTTGTGTGTGCTAGATTGGTACTGGCTAGTTGTCCTTTTTTAAAAAACAAATGAAGGGGTTATGCATTTAAAATCTACAGAACTTTCATTGCTTTACAGGGATTACTTAGCAGCCAGCTATATGCTTTTGCAAAAAAAAAAAAAAGAAAGAAAAAAAAAAAATTCTTCACAAGTCTTAATCGGTGAATATATGTTAACTTGCTAGTTGTTCCATCCTTTGCTTTTATTAAATGATTAAGTTCAGCCATTCTGCTCTTTTCCAGTGATTTAATACAAGGTGATCTGTTTTGCATGGTCATGTTTTCTTAACATTACTATAGAACTAGCTTGCTTCCAGCCCCGTGAAATTTTTCCTTTATTCAAGGGAACTAAGTGTTTAGTTATTGTTTAGAGTGCAAGATATGGCTGTTCTTATTCATAACTTTTGATAAGTGCTTTTAAAACAATATAAGCATTGGTTTGCAGATTGCCACCCATTATGAGCTTTGTTGGAAGCTTTCTGGGGAAGCAAAGAGGGAAATGTGTGTAGTACAGGAATATCATCTAACTCTGATCCCAGTACAGGATAGAAACTTGCTATATATTCTGCTGTTTCCGCATTATTTGTAATGCCTTGTCTGGAACAGGGCAGTTTTTATTGAGACATCTACCTACCTTTCCTTGCAGTTGCTTGTATCTGTAACTGACTTTTGTCCACAGTACCCAGCTTCCCTGTGTGTTCTGTAATGCTGTTTGCTTCTGTTGCTGCTTTGTGTTTCATATTGATTGTGATAGATCTCTTTAAAAAAAAAAAAGAAAAAAAAAGGGGGGGTGGGGAAGAAACTCTAGCACTTGGGTCCACTGCAGGTTACCCATTTGTAGCCTGTAGCTGAAGGAAACATGGTCAAAAGCTTGTCACTAATCTTAAGCTTTTGTGAGGGCATTTTAGGATGTGCAGGCGTTGCTTCTGCTTTCTCTGGGCAGGCTCCCTTTCCATCTCTCACAGTGGGATTTTATACCTTACAAATGCATTCAATAACAATCAGTGTGACAGCAAGAAGTGTTGTCCAAGTTGAACTTTGTGCTGCTTCTCTTTGAAGATAATTGCTGAACTACTAACACATTTGGGGCTGCTAAAATAGAGCCATCTGACCCAAGTAAAGTCCCAGCAGACGTATTTGTGTAGCATCTAGTGTAGTTTTGCAAAACTATCGAGCAGTAGCTACAAGAAAAGACTGTAGCTTGAGTGTTGGTAGAATAGGAGTTAAATCTTGCTCCAGTGCCTGAGCTGCCTGCAGAGCCACTGGCATCGTTTGCCAGGTTAATGCAAAGGCAGCTCACTCCCATTTATCCCCCTACATTCATCCCTGGCACTTGAGGTGTGAAGGGATGGTGCTGATCTGCGAAGGCAGGATACCAGTTTCCAGCACCCCAGGGAGCATGCTCATGGGTAAGTATTTGTACTATAATTAACTTCGAGTATTCAAAAGTTTCTTTGATGTGGTTCAAGCTGTAGATACTGAATTTGTTCTGGTTCTGTTCTGGCTCAGGACTGAGGTGATGTTGCCAGAGCTCTGATGCCTGCTTACAGTATCCATGGATCTTCCAGCTGCTACCTGCCTGTATTGGTAAGTATTATATAGTAATCCATGGGGCTAGGCCATGTCATTAGTCTACACTAGATACAACTCCACGGATCCTGTCAGCAGTGTTGGCCCTGCTCCTGTGCACCAGAGCTTCCAAGTGCCAGGAGTGTGTTAGTGGGCAAGACACTAAGCAAATGGGCCTATTGCTGTCAATATTGCCAAAGTTAGGAAAAAACAGGAGCTTTTTCCCCAGTGCTGTGGCTAGCCACGAACACGCTCACTTCTTCACTCAGTTTCTGGGGACAAGCTCTTTTCCTGCTATTACATTCACAAACTGAGCAGACAGCTTGGTGGATGGAAATGGATAGTCTGATGCCATGCCTTAAATTCAGACCTTAGCTGTGAATCCCATTAGAAATAAAAGAAATCACAAATCTGGAGAGCTCGTTGCTGCTCTAGAAGTAAGACTTTGGAAGAGACTTTAAGCCCCTGTTCCAGCAGTGCCTCTTCAGTGTCTCTGTGCATCTGTGGCAGGGTAAACTGTGATTCTTAAATAAGACAACTGATATTACCCATCAAGCATATGAATTATATGATGTAATTACTGTGCAACTATCTTGAATATTTAGCTGTAGACAGTCTTAGAAAATGTATTTTCTTCTCCCTCTGATTGTGTAATTCATAATTTGGGCTGTGGGGAGGACTTGTGTTTTGTATCTAAGATGCTAGAGGCTGACCCGAGTGCATTATTAAGTGGTGGCTGTTGGAACTAAACTGACCTTGAATGAATCTGTTGAAAGCCTCAGATTTCAAGGCTTGTTTTGCTGAATCCAGGGAAATGTTATGAGTTGTGTAATATGAATACACAGGCTGCAGTCTTCCGTGAAGCTTTTCAGATTCCCTTCTGATTCCTGGACAGAGCTTCACACAATTCTTTTCAAAAAGATTTATTTTTTTTGCCTATCCTCTTCTAATTGTGAAGTCACCCCACTGCCTTGTGTGCTTCCATGAGACAATATTGCCAACTCTCACCTGTGGACTGCATAATGCAGGGTAATGTGTTTGCAGGGTTCCTCGTTCTTTCTGACTGAAAATTGGTCCTGTTTTGCAGTCTTCAAGTGGATCTGCTTCTTTCCCTTGTCCTCTTTTCCATCTTTGCCGGACTCTGATTTCTTCCTCCTGCTTTGGAGGCC